AAAAAGTACTGGGGAAAAAAATTCTGAACTGTGTTTGAGACATTACGTACTTTTGTTCCATGCACAGAAATTCAAGTTTAGTTTTGCCACATGGCCTCTGTTTGTAAGTATAGTTGTAAGGTAAGACAAACAGTTTTTAGCATGTATCCCATGTGGTCATGATGTAGTGTCTTTGCTGTAATACGACTAGTCTAATAAACTGTAATGAAGCCTGTGTATGTGGTCAAGTAAATGCTTTAATTCTATTTTGCAAGTATAAACTATGAATACTTCCTTTACTTTGTCATTTTTTTGATTCAGGATTTACTGACTTAAAATTGTATTCTGACATAAAACAGGCAAGCATGACTCAATATTCAAAACAGCAATTATGAACATTATACCCATGTTTCTATAAAAAAAATTTTTTTTGGGGGGGGGGGCGGTCAGAGTACTACAAATTGTGAGAAACTCATTTGAACTCATTTAACTCATTGCCTGTCAACCATAAACCAAAATAATGACACAATGACAGTAAAGCTCAACTTTTTTCTCAATTAGGATGCCAGGGAAGTATGATGACATTGTAGAACCTGTACGTGTTTAGCTAAGTTAATTTCACCTTTATTTTTAAAAAATGAGGCACATGTGCAGAGAAGTCACCAAAACGCTCAAAAGAAAAGACATTTGTGTGAGAACAGAGGTATGGCCTATAACAAATAAAATCCCTTAAGTGGGCAAAATCAAAAACAGACTAGTTTAAAACCCTTGGAGGATGTTGGAGGCTCTGGACCAGCCCAAAGCTTTAAACATTAGGCGACTTATAATATTAAACTACTAAATATGAACATTCTGTCATCATTTACTCACTCTCGTGTTTTTCAAAACCTGTATGACTTTGTTCATTCTGTGGAACAAAAAAAGGAAACATTCTTCAAAAACACCTCTTTAGAAATCTTTATAAAACGTCTGTCCACAGCTCTTTATAAGATGGTGTATGGGAAAAGGCACTGCCGCATATACTTGAGATTTTTATATCGTGACTTTTTTTAAAAAGGAGATGCCATCATATGCAAACTGGTAAAGGCCCTTAAACATGACTTTTGTGTCACTTTGGTAAATTAACCACAACACACAAATCTCTGTGACACACAGTAAGTGTCACAGGCTACTATGCACTAACTGATCCCAATAAAGTGAGCCAAAGTAATTAAACAGAAGAGACGGGTAGAGTATATCTTCAGAACTTGAGATGTCCATTCAATTCGCTGTCTGTTGATAGGCTGAAATTAGTGCAGGATATTTCAACCTAGCCAAAGTCAATGCGTGGTCGATATTCAAGTACCATTGGGTAGGCCTGGAGAAAGAGACATGTTGTAGATGAGTATACAATGTACATTTTACGGTACAGTATGCAAACTTAAAATACATAAATGGATTTGTATACAGATTGTCAAGTTTATTGGAAATGTATTTCTTTAACGATTAAATCATTTTTTTTTTTAAATTGAAGTTGAAATCAAACTGGCATACTCTCTCTTAATCACTGAGCTCATGGAACATCGGTCTTGAATGTTTATACATTGCTGTTAAAGGGATAGTTCACCCAAAAATGAAAATTCTGTCATTAATTGCTAGCGCCATTTTGGAGAGCATCACATACGTAAACCGCGTATGCAACGTATGTACGCGGATACATTATTTACATTCAGATCAAAGCATAAACAATGTAAACAGCGTATCCGCGTATGGTGCTGCTAACACAGAACGGCATACGTTGTTTATGTATGTGATACTCTCCAAAATTGCGCTACAGGGTGACGCGGAGGAGACGATTTGTTGAATAAAGTCTTTTTTTTCTTTGCGCACTAAAAGTATTCTCGTTTTTACGGTTGGACCACTGATGTCACATGGACTATTTTATCGATCTCCTTGCTATGTTATTTTGAGCCTTGATTGTGCAAGGATCCTTGCTGTCTCTCGGAATGCATCAAAAATATCTTAATTTGTGTTCCGAAGATGAATGAAGGTCTTACAGGTTTGGAACGACATGAGGGTGAGTAATTAATGACAGAATTTTCATTTTTGGGTGAATTGTCCCTTTAAAAGTCAATCTCTCTATGGAGAAAATGAATGGAATATGGAACTCTGTTGCAGCACTGTTGTAATGGTTGTAATCTAATCATATTTTGAGTTATTCTTTTCAAGAAAGCCACAACCTTTGTGTTCCAAACAAATATTAATACATTTTCAATCTGCACTGAGAATGCGAGAACATCTTCACAGCAGTACTGACGGGTTACATTCTCATTCTCAAGTACACTCAAACAACACTGTCAGAAACCTGTTTATAGAAAGCAAGGGAAGGAGTTTTCTGTACTGTACCAGAAAAATAGGAGATAAGGTGCCAGCTCTTTCTGACCCAGTTCTGTGCCACTTCAATTTACAAGGATTTCATTTTTAACCTCATGTAGCTTTTATATCCTCAGGAGCTCGTCAGAAAAAAAATTTGTTGCGACTTTTTTTGGCAGAATCCCAAAGCTGATTATGTGTATCCTTGTTGAATTCTCAATTTATTTAAAGTCAATTTCAAGATCTAGGAAAGCTATAAGGGAAGTCTTTCTGATTTTACAGTATACATGAAATGTGTGATACATTTAAAGGCAGAGTAAGCGATTTCTGGTAGCCAATATTGATATTTGAAATCACCAAAACAAACACGCCCCTACCCCAAAAGGGTCTTGCCCCTATTTTGATAGCTCCGCCCCACATATACGTACGCAACCCAGGCTCTGTGAAACAAAGCAAAACCAATGTTACACCGTGTCTACGGACGTGAGCGGCGCGGCGCAACAAATCCCCGACAGAAAACTGCTGCCGGGTTCTATTTATGACGTGCGGACACAAATTTAAAATGGTTTTCAACGGTCGTTTGATCGCGTCCAGTGTAGGCAGACTTTAGCTGTTGTAGACACGGTGTTACTCACCTATTGAGAAGAAACATAGCAACCTCGGCGTCCGATCGCAGGCCTCCGCTCCTTGAGTTCTCTCCAGCACTGGAAAGCTGATCCAATATTTTACACGGGTCCTACTTCTTGCCTTATCTTTCCGCAGACGTTTTCCTCTTTTGTTTTTTTATCCGCCATCTCTATCTTTCTGTCGCTCGGCTCGGCTAATGTCCGTCCCATGCACTGAAAGCTCTCTCCTCCACATCACGAGACGAGTAGACACGCCCCTTATTGCTGATTGGCTACAAGTTTGTTTTGCTATTCGGCCCGAATCAGTTTTCTAAAGTGTTTTTGAAAAATCACATACCCTGCCTTTAAGTGATAAATGTAATATTCACCAAAACAATTATAAATAATTAATTAATAATACTTACTAGGGATGTCAACGGATAAATATTATTATATTATATTATAGTATAGTATATTTATTGTTTTGTTTAAAATTGACATTTTAATCATTAAATTTAATCATGGGGCAAAAAAAAATTTAACTCAAGAAAATGTTATGGTTAAATGTTCATGAGCTGTACTTTGACTAAAATAGAGCCTACGTGGTGGCTTTTCCACACAGATGGAAAGTCATACACTTATCAACAGAGTATACAGGGACCCTCATTAAGATGTGGCATTACCCTATGAAGTCCCCTGGTGAGTTGCAAGAGGATATGCTTGGGTATGAAAACAGAGTAGAGACCCCCCAGTGAGGCGTCTGTAACCCCCTTCACCACAACAGCGATTCATGACCTGACCCTGGACCTTATAGCGCCATACTCCATGACAGCCTTGTGTAAAAGTGACAATCATAATGCTAGAATTAACTCTGAAGTGCATGCCCAACTGAGGAGGGGGTGTGGGACTGACTTGACTTGTTTTGAAATTAACCTTAAAGTTTTATGGCTGTCTTAAGTTTATTGCTTTAAATTGTAAATACCATGCAAAGTCACACAACTTGCTATGAACCTGCTTTGAGTAATAGGGTCTGCCATTGCTATGAACCTGCTTTGAGTAATAGGGTCTGCCACACTGCTCATCCCAGTGGAAAAGATGAGAGGATTTAGATTTCACACATGAGGAGAGAAGGAGACACTGGTATTCTCATAGCTTACATTTTCTCCCCGAAGCCTCCAGCGGGTCATGTAGATAAACTCCATGGTGTGGTCTTTACCCATGATCTCACCATTGCATAGAACATCTAGCTGCAGAAAAAGTTAGTGACTGTCAGAGCAATTTCATTGTATGGTAGACCAAAACAGCCAAGAACACATGAAACAAGAACAACATAAACAGCAGAAACATGGTAAACATGAGATGGTGGTTAATTGGTGAAACACATGCAATGAAGTAAAAGATACATGTTTGAGTCCTAGAAGAGCATATTTCATTTGGAGTGTTCCTGTATGCCAAGGTCATGAGTTTGATTACCAGGGAACACATGTACTGATAAAAGATATAGGTTTTATCACACTATATGCACTATAGGCTTAGCATAAATGTGTCTGCAAAACGCATAACATAGACATGTGAAATATAAACGAAATGGAAAGGCAATATGTAATATCCACCAAATCGTGGTGCCTTTTTTTGCTTACAGGAAAAATGGTCACCTACATAGACTAAAGATATTCAGGTGTTACCTCATAAGAACTGGGAAGCTTTAACTTCAGACTTAAAAACTTCTTGATTGTTCCAACAGTCACTCTTGTTGAGCATCGAATAACTTTTTTCATTAAGCCCTGGAAAACAAGGCGAAAAAACAACTTTGATCAAATTTCCAAAATGCGACTCAATCAAAATATTAGAATGATTTCTGAAAGATTGTGTGACACTGAAGACTGGGGTAATGGATGTTGAAAATTCAGCTTTTGCCATCACAGGAATAAATGACACTTTAAAATACATTAAAACAGAAAACATTTTTTTTAATTGTAATAATATTTCATTATATTACTGAAAAGAATGAAAGTAAAAGATAATTATTTGCAACAAGGGAGATACTGGCAATGTGGGAGCCGATAGAAATGATTGAGCTTTGGAGTTACACTGATTGATACTAGGCTTTAGAAAAGAATAAGGATCAGCCTCGACTTTAATCTTAAAATGTCAAACACACTGATCTTGATGGAAAAAAATCTGATCCTGGATCACTTTTCCTTTAGAAGGAATAAGACCAACACAGAAAGAAGATAAAAGAAGAAGACGACATGGGATGGCACACATAAAGTAGGAGGAGGAGAGATAATTTAAGATGGGTAACCTTAACAATGTTCTCTCCCATCTGCCCATTGTTACGCAAGCAGTCTAGACAGATGGCTATCTGCGGATCACTCCTGTGGTAGTCTCCATCACCTTTAACATCATCATCTTCATCCACTCGGGTCTTCTTACATATAGGGCCATCCTCTGGAAAAAGACAAAACAGAGCTGCTCATGTTAAAGGATTGTCATTTAAATCACTATCAAAAGGTCTGAACTGTTGTTTAATCTATCTTTCACGCAGATTTCTTAAATTGTACTTTTTTTTTTTTTAACTAAACTGAATCAAGCCGAATAATAACACTAGTATCTAATATAAAGCTGCTTTACAGCTGAAATTCAATTTATAACATAATTGATTAATTTTTCAACATTAAGTGTTAATGAGTTACGTCTTCTGCCATTTTGGAGAATGGAGTACCCAAGAGCGTAATCTGCGTAATCAGCGTTGTTTACGCTTAGGGGAAAGCGTGCGTATGTGTTGTGATACTCTAAAATGGCGGAAGACGTAACTCGGGGAAGAAGAATTGTTGAATAAATTATGTTATTTTTGTTTTCTTTACGCTCAAAAAGTATTCTCGTAGCTTCGCAAAACTGAAGTTGAGCCACTGATGTCACATGGACTGTTTTACCGATGTCCTTACTACGTTTCTGGACCTGGGAACATTACAGTTGCGTTGCTGTCTATGCAGGGTCTGAGAGCTCTCACATTTCATCAAAAATACCTTAATTTGTGTTCCGAAGATGAACAAAGGTTTTACGTGTTTGGAACTACATGTGGGTGAGTAATTAATGACAGAATTTTCATTTTTGGGTGAACTTTAAGTGTTAATTTCTTGTTTATTACTGTGAAACTGCTTTGACACAATCTGTATTGTATAAAGCACTATATAAATAGGCTAAATGTTACTTGACTTTTATTTATTTATTTTTATTTTATTTATTTATTTAAAAAAAATTTCTGACTCCCCAAAATGTTTAAAATGCACGTGAAAATTTGGATTTTATGTGAAAATTGCATAAATTTCATTTAAAAATAAAATAAAATAAATAAATATGTGCCATATTACGTGTTCCCCTGACAATGCAGGGCACAAAAGCTAAACATTTCAGACTCATAGATATGCTAATGCAAAATAGCATCTGCATCTTTTCTCAGGCTTTCTTTCATATGAAATAGATAACATTCAAAATGATGATCTTGGGAAAATCATGAATGTGGTAATTATCTCATCATTAAGAACTGCTTACAGCTGCAAACACTTACAAGTTGCCTTGGAGACTCCAAGTATTATGAAAGTCATTCATTTTGGTTCATACAAAGAGCATAAGAGCTGCAGATTAAGAAGATTGTAGTACACAAACAAAAAACTCATACATTCCAACAAATCACACAAAACATAATTTAACTAAATGGGGCATCCCAAACAAATAAGGCCATGTAATTTTACTACTGATATGATGTAGAAAAACAAATGAACGGCATGTTCTTGTGTGTCTTCACCATCATTCAATTTGGTCTTAAGGCAGAAATTAAGTCATCTTGTAACATAAATCCGCGTGAGAGCACATTCTAACTTGCTGACCAGTGTTACTTAATAAAATTAATTTGACGGCACTCTGAAAAAAAGAAAAAGAAATAAATTTATTTTACCACGGCAGATTTTTTTTGTCAATTAGACAATTTGTAATTTGAAAGGAAAAAAAAAAAAAAAAAAACTTAACTAGATAGTTGCCTTTATCTTACAATTATTTATATAGCACAATTATTTACATTTTATTTACATTGTTTTATTGTAAATAAAAAGGTGTTTGTCTAAAATGCCACATTATGTCTAAATTTGGTCATACGAGTCAAGCGTTCTGCAAAGCCATATATCCATTAAAGTCTATCAGTTTTAAAATTTCAGTGCTTATCTTTACAGTTGTAATTGTATAAAACAGTTGTACAGAGTGACTCTGTCGTAGTTCTCTCTGGAGTCAAGGGAGCAAAGTGACACAGATACATCTATACTGATGACTCACATCTTATACCCACCACCTCTTGAGTCAAGGTCAGTGGAACAGAGTGTGGTAGATTCATTTGAGCTGTGAAGACATTACTTGATAAGGAACAAAAGTGATACCAAAAGTCTGATGAAAGAAGTTTAAATGCTGATACAGTAGAGTAACCTGGCCCATAGCAGGACTCATAACCAGGAGAGTCTAATGTGTGAGATTAAAGGGATAGTTCAGCCAAAACCAAAAGGTCTGTCATTATTTACTGAGTCTTCTGCTATTCCACACCCATATTTCTTTCTTCTGTAAACCACAAAAGGAGATGATAGGTCGAATTTTCTTGCTGTTCTTTTTTTCTATACAAAGAAAATTAATTTTGACCAGGAGCTTTTAAGCAGCAAAAAGGACAGCATAAATGTATCATAACAATAGTTCATATAACCTGTGTGTTCTATCCCTAGCCTATTTGGGATATTTTTTAAATGCTTTTTGTTTTCTTTCATTTTCAGAAGTTCATGGTCTCCACTCACTTTCATATGGAAAACAGCAGAGTCAACATTCTGCTCAAATTCTCTCACTTTTCTTTCAGGTTTGAATCGAAAACAGAATGACACAATTTTCATTTTCAGGTGAACTATTCCTTTAAAATGGTGAAGCTTTGAGTTAACATGTTTATCAGGTGAGTGCAGTTGTAGATCATTTCACTGTTTGAGTCATTTACCATCAGGACTTTCTTTCACTTTGTTTCTTCTCCAGAATTCAATCTCTTGCTGCTGTTCCTCTGGAAGAAATGAAAAAGTTAATTAAATGCCAGTTGATATATGGTATTTATAAATGACACAAGAGTTACTTCAAATGGCAAAATACATACTTTCTCTAAGACCAGGCACAAGTTTGAAAATGACTTCTTCTAGAGTGTTGTCGAGCCTTTGGAGAAAAGAAATACACAGAAATGTGAGCTACCAGAACACCAGCCATGCTAATGTCGCTGTCACGTCTGTTAGCAGGTTCAGGTTAATGCTGCTCTACGCTCTTGTTATCATGTTATCATTCTGTCTGGTGTTGGGGTGGAGATGTATCACTGGTGTGGAGAGGCAATACTGTGCAGGGTTAGTCTCACAGCTGACACTCTGGCTCCAGAACATAGTCTGGCAGTTGCTTGGAATGCCTCCCAACCAGGATCAAATTCACTGCCACTTTATGACCCCACACTGCTCAAAACCAGGCAACTGTGGGTAACAAATCTCTCAGACCTTTTATGGAAAAGCTATTAGATTTTGTTCCAGATTTCTTCAAAATCAAATAGATTAATCTCATTAATCCTTATCTTGGCTTGTATTGTTGTGTGCTCTACAATGCTACACTGAGTCTGATCCCAGACCACTTGAAGCGGATTTGCTGAAGGGGTTTTGAATTAGTAGTAGGATATCATGGACCAGTGTGGTTTACCTTAACATCTCCAAGGGATTTGTTTCATGAACCTGGATACCACATTTTGGGCAATCATTGCTGTCCTCAAAATGCTGGACTATACAGCTTTTACAAACTATACAAAAGCAGAAAAAAAGAAATTATACTTAAATAACAGTAAAAATCTGTGAAATTTACAATAAAAAAAAAAAAACAGCAGCTGTGGCAACTTCACTGTAAAAATACAGTAACAACATTTGTGTAAAATGAAATGAAAAAAATAATTTTCATCGTCCTATAAGTCAGCTGTTCCCAACCCTGGTCCTGGAGGCACCTCAATACTGCACATTTTGCATGTCTCCTTTCTCTGGCTGCGTTTACACTGCATTAACATGCGATCACCGTGATCCGATCAAGCAGATCGGACCATCAGTCAATCAGAACACGGCGCGTTTACACTTGGCAACATCAGCTGAGATCTCTATCTGGATAACCGATCGGATCTGTCTTTCCCGCGCAATATTTAAATAAGTTTGCCGAGAATGGCCCAGTGCAAAGTCAACCTAATGTGTTGGGCTTTCTGTTGAAAAGCATTTTCCGTCGCGGGACATTTTACAAATCAAACTCACTAGGGCTCCACATGGGCGTTCTCCGTCTTTCTTGTGACCGTTCGGGAGAGAGGGGGCGGGGTTTTGCGTGATGTCGACCTGCGAATGCAGACCATAGAATGCAGATGCAGACACGATGGCTGGATTGCGTTTACATTACACTGAGATCCGATCACAATGCGTCCTCTACTACCTCTGGACCAGGACACGCTGATCAGATAACATTCCGATCAGAAGCGCGTTTACACTTGTCTTTTCAATGTGTATGTGGACAACATCCGGATACAGGTTGCATGTTAATCCCAAGTGTAAACGCAGCCTCTGACACACCAATTTCAGGTCTTGGAGTCTTTACTAATGAGCTAATGACCTGAATCAGGTGTGTTTGATTAAGGAGACAAGCAAAACGTGCAGTTTTGGGGTGCCTCCAGGACCTGGGTTGGGAACCATTGCTTGAACAAGTCATCCAAGTAATAAAATGACTTGTTCTTTTTTTACTTCTAAAAACTATAAATTTTGCATTGCTTTACCATATTTGATGTCCTATTGTATCCATTACAGATTTTCACCATATATAGCAAGAGAACTTCCCATTTACCAATTACATTTTACTGTAACATTTTTACAGTTTCTTACTGTTAAAATTACAATAATTTTTAATGTCAAATTTCACAGTTGAAATTCCCTGCAAGAATGACCACAGACTACAATTAAAACCAAGTCTTACAAACTGGCATTTAGATAAAGCTTTAGCTGGCTTTGCTTGGCCATGGCCAGTAAAACACCTATAATTTTCCACCGGCAAAATTATAGCAACACTCATTACCTTATTGCTCTGTAAATACACACATACAAAGCTATCAACACACATAAACTATTTCAAACTGCTTTACCTCATGAGTGAGTGCATGGGGAAAAAATAGCCACTGCCCACACATATTACACACTGACATTGATGCACGACACAATCAGGTCATCATGTGTAATAAGTTGGGCAGGTGGCAATACAAAATACAGTGTATACTAAAACAAATGCCTAGTACATTCAAGATATGAAATTACTTTTATGGCATTAATTAACAATAAATATAAGCAAAAAATGATTAAAATAAATATCAAATAATATAAATAATAATAAATTTTACTATTGAACTTTCTCATGGTTTACTGTACATTTCATATGCCGCAATCAAACAATAAAGCACACATTGCAAACTAATTCCATTAAGAAAATATTTTGTGTGAAATATTTTGTGTGAAAATTGATGCTTGAGGAGAATATCTGTTGTCATGGTGACTGATCTACAGATGACAGTGACAGTGTGTTGGTCATGTATCTTAAAAATGAGGGAGATTTCACATCTGGTTTGCCGTACCAATATAATGCAAAAAGGAAAGTAGGTCACTTACACCTGACAATGAAATGACTATTAATTAACACTAGATCCTGATGTTCGCATACTCTCTGTGGAAATACATATGTGCCTAATCAAGCATTATAAAATTAATTGTCCCTAAAAATCATTAACAACAGCAGTAGTGGGATTTATCAGCTTAAATACATGCAACAAACACTGGTCTAAATAGTGTATCAGTGAAACTGGTAGGTCTGCACTAAAGTACAGTAGTTTGGTTGGACACATTGATTCATATATTAAACATTTAACAATTACAGATATGTAAAGTTATTTCCTTACTCTGCTACCCTAACTTTGTATGGATAATTACATTTTATTACTTGAAATTAGCATTGCTTTTTTTCCACGTGCTGTCCGTGACACTATTAGAACAGATCATTTTTGGGTCAGAGCCCACCGGCTGAAAACCACTGCTAAATCATCATTAAAATTTTCATTAAATTCTCATAGAGACTGTAGATACTTACAGGTGTGTAGGCACTCTGTCACAGTAGTGGGCTTGATCAAGTACCCTTTACAGATATAACAGGTGATGAAATGGTTTAAGTCCCTCACCAGGTGTTTCCTATGTGATGTCATTGTCAAGTTACCAAAGGAGGGATGAAGGAAAAACAGATGGTGTAAGGATGAAGTGGAATGCAGCTTCAGCCACTCTGTAGCTCAACTGCAGTATTCTGCTGAAGGGCCCCTGGCCTTCTCTTCCTTCATGACATCATGGAAAATTAAACATGCCCTTAAGACAGACCTGTGGATGTGGATAAAACAATCATGCTTTATATAAACATTTTTAAATCATTGAAAGTTGTTGAAAAGATGTTTTTTTTTTTTTTTTTACTTTTATTGCTTTGTCTTTTTGTGTAACATTAGCCTATAATCTTTGTTTGTTAAAGGTGCATTCAGTAAGGCTGCGTTTGAAATCGTTCTCTCTCAGTAGGTACTTCTTTTGAATTTCTTATTTAGTCACCATTAAAAATCAGTGGTTCTCAATTCCAGTCCTGGCTGACACAAGGCGAATTCCAAATGCTATTGCACCCTTAAAGGGCACTTTTGGAAGGGGATGCCATTTGTTAGGGCATTCCAAACGAAAGTGAACACCTCAATCCCTCCATGAAGGGCCCTTTCACAAGTCCGATGGTCTATAATTTATGGTCATGTAATCCAAGTTGGTATCCTCATGATTTTAAAGGAGGAGAGTTTGGGTTAACGTAACGGGTTAACAGAATAATTCAAGGTGTTTTGTTATGATATATGACACAAAATTCATATTAAGTTTAAATAAGTTTCATAAGTAAGAAATATGTTTAATAGTAGATGCGTTGGGTAAATGTGACCTGCAGGGTTCAAAGAAGAGATGGCAAGCTTTATAGCATAGGGAACACACACACATACACACACACACATAAAGCATATTTTAAAAACTTCATTATTAAATGTATATTTATTTGTAACATATTAACAGCAATAATAATAATGCTGTAACATTCCAGGTGAAGATAATAAGCAAATTACATTGTCTTTCATTGCTCCCTTCGCCAAGGGCCTTCCAAATGGCTTTATTATGACACGGATGTCCCCTGCTCTCTCCAAAGTCCCTACTTCAATGGCTCTTCCCTTTGGAGTGAGCAAGGCATAGGGATGCTCACTTCCTATTGGAACACTCATAGAAATCTCTACTAACAAGCTCATGATCTGAAGCAGGTGTGTTTTAGACAGACATACAAAAAGTGCAGAGTGGTGGGTCGCCAGACCGTAATGGGGAACCACTGTTCTATATAGTATGAATATTCACCACGTTGTCATTATTACAGTCATGTGACCTTCAGCCATAGTCAAGGGTTGTGGCTAGAAGGGATGCAGCAAAAACCGGAAGCTAAAAATAAATTACATTTTCTACCTATTAGATTGTTTTATTAACGTCTACACCTACCCCAACTCTAAACCTACCCCTTAAAATAATGCAAAAACAGTAATTACTGTATTGTTGTACAGTGTGAGAAAAATGACGCTGTATTGATGTGCACCTGCCCAGTAGCTTTTGCTGTATCCATTCTAGCCTTAACCATAAGGGCACTCTGGAGTCATGGCCGCCATATTGAAGGGCATTCTAAACTAAAGTACTCAAAACTGGCCACTTCAAAGGGCCCTTCGGAATAAAGGATTTCCAAGGGTGCAACTGATGAAAACTTTGCTCTCATGATACTTTTTGCACAGGTTTTATTGTGCACTGCAGAAAGTAAAACGCTGTAGCTGTT